AATTTGTGGTTTCGAAAATAACACCAACAGTTTTCTGTAATATTTCTTGTTTCACTATTTCCACTTCTTCAATAGCTGGCGCAATATCTTCTATTGGTAGGGATGGTAAAGTCGGTGCATTCGGAATAATTTCAGTGATTTCTGTAGTTGCAGATAATGCACTTACAGTTTCCTCTAATGGTATTGGCTCTACTTGTTCAGTTTCTTCAATTAGTGGAGACGGTATAGTGGATGATTCCAGAATTATTTCATCTAACTCTGCGATCAACGACCAGACATCTGAAGGTTCTTCTAACATTACTGGTTCTACTAGTTCAACTTCTTCGCATGGCAAGAGTTCCTCGATTGCCGGTAAAGTTAGTATTTCGGAAGAACCACAAACAGTTTCCTCTAATATTACAGGTTCCAACATTTCAACATCTTCTACAACAGGCACAATATTTTCAACTAGCGGAGGCGGTAAAGTTGGTGCTTCAGGAATAACATCACCAACTTCTACAATCGGAGATATCACACCCACAGATTGTTCTGGTAAAGCTGGTTGTACCAATTCAACTTCTGCTACAACTGGCATGATTTCTTCTTCAATTGATAAATTTGTTTTTTTTTCAGAACTAGAAGTTCAATTTGGAGACAACACACTAACTGATTCTTCCAAAACTTTCGATTTTTCTAATTTGATTTCTTCAGCAACCGGAACAATTTCCTCAATTACCAGAGGTGGTAATGCTGGTGTTCTATATAATTATTGGTTCTTCTAATTTAACTTCTTCATCAACGGCTACAATTTTTTGCATTAGAAGCGGTATTTCACCTTTGATTGCGACTGGAACTGAAAGAGATGACAGAAGTTTCAGTATAAGTTCTCTCTTTTCATATTATGCAGCAAAAATTTTCAGAAGTGTATTTAATATTTCGATATGTTTTTCTGTTTCAATCACTCTTTCTGGTGTACAATTTTGCTGCACTAATGAAGTCAAAGCTTCAATGTGAGCTGGTGGTATATTTTATTTGTGGCTTAAAGTAAAACTTGGCGCCTTGATGTACTATAGGTATATAGCAGGAAGCGAATTTCCAGAACCAGATTGTGAATTGAAATTTTCGTTGGCAGTTATTTGAATAGGCTCGTGATCTATCGATGCCAGAGCCACTCGCTCGATTAGAAGAGTGCACAAAACGAAAACAGCAGTGGACCAAATCTTGTGGCCAAAAGTAAGACTACAGTAAATGACAATATCACTTGAGAAGCAAGCAAAATATAAAATCAATGAATTAAAACTTACCATTTTTGGCAAATACAATTCTGAATTATGACAATTCAGTGTAGTGACTGCCTTTTATACTATCCCGAACTCTTTAAGGAACTACTTAGGACACAATTAGCTAATGGGTAATTTACGTAATAACTACATTAGTGAACTTAATGACACCAAATTAATTAAATTCTATTATATTTATTTTACTGTACCTAATCATGTTGCAAAATATCAAGTTTTAATTAATCTAATTAGGTAAACCTTTAAAACTCCTTGTCGTATTTTAATTTAATAATTTAATTCCATCATCATAATACCACACAGAGGGTGACCATTTATCAGTCGCCCCTGAGGTTCCAGAGGTTCCAGAGGTTTCAGTAGTTTCTGAATCAGCACCCACCAGTTAAACGTTATATCAATTTGTTCCAGTGATTAATTATATGGGTGTTAGGCACCCATATAATTAAAAGAAAGAAGAAAGAAAGAAAGAAAAACATTTATTCGACACATTGCATGCACAGATATGCAGACAAAATGAGTTATAAATAAAAACAAAATTAAAATAAACAATAAACATCACAAAATTAACAAAAATAGATGCATGCACGTATACTAATTAATCACATATACTCTAATAAATAATTGAAATAAATACAATTTCATAGAAAATTACAAATCTTCTTTTTAGAAATTCCTAAAAGTATTAAAACATGTAAATATATCTACAATATATTATTATATTTATGTATCATCATCATAATCAACAGTCTATTAGTGCCCATTACTGAGCAAACTCACACGAGCGGCATTTAATCACCACGCATGTTTAAAAGCGGATTGGCGATTTCAAACTTATGTGACAATTGTAATTTTGAAACTAATAAATTGTAAGCCTGGGTTTGCTCACGATGTTTTCGTTCACCATGTATGTATGTACCTACATATGTATGCGTTATCAAAAATATAGATATCGGGAAAATTACAAATAGTTGGTTACGAAGAAACCACATAGAAAACGAGTTTAGACACACGACGGATTAATGTGATGTGACAATTTTAATTTTGATTTTGTTCTTTTATAGCCCGGGAAATGACGGTTCCTCGAATTGTGAGATAGTCGACTAAAACTTATCTCAAATCCTTATTTTTCTAAGTTAGAACTTATCTCAAAACGGTCAAAAATTTGATAAAGATAAAAATATCAACGTTTTACATAATATTTATTGCGGATACATATTCGTTTCCTATGGGTTTTCTGCTATGTGTATAATCAATACATAGTATAAAACAAAGTCGCTTTCGCTGTATGTCCGTATGTATGCTTAGATCTTTAAAACTACGCAACGGATTTTGATGCGGTTTTTTTTAATAGATAGAGTGATTCTTAAGGAAGGTTTGTATGTATAATAAATGCATAATATAGTAGAGAAACACTGATAAATTTAAAGGTTTCTAATGTGATGTCGTAAATCAGCACGTTTTTTTGCGCTTATATTGCAAACGCTGGCTGAACCCTACGAGATAGACCAAAATAATGTACTACAGTATTGTTCACCTTAAAAAGAACAAAAAAGTCCGCGATGGTATATGTCTATCTCTTAGGGATAACCCAGCATAACCATTTTTATTCTTTACTAAAAAATGGTTATTTACGAAGTGATTTTAAACAATACAGCATTAATCCTTATCCAATTAAGTACCTTAAATAAATTGTGCATTTATTATTCAGAGATGCTGCTAAAAGTTGGCAATGGAAAGTTAACTCAAAGTGATGGAAGGATTAACCTAGATAACCTTTGTGTTTTGATAGACAACATCCAAGATTTGGTCAACAATGTCTATCCTGACATTCATAACATAAGTTGTAAGACTCTATCTTGGTTCAAAGAAAGAGCCATCCTGTCACCAACCAACGAACAAGTAGATAAGGCAAACAACTTGATTCTTGCAAAAATTGATACGCCGACGCAAATATTCTCGGTCGATACTGTTCTCGACTCAGAAGAAGCTGTATATTTTCCTACAGAATTTCTTAATTCTTTGAACCCTTCTGGACTCCCTCCTCATAAAATGGAATTGAAAGTAGGTTGTCCTGTTATTTTATTAAGAAATCTGAATCCTCCTAAGCTCTGCAATGGCACACGTTTGCTGGTAAAATCACTAAAAAAATTCATAATAGAGTGCACAATACTCACCGGATGTGGTACCGGAGAAGATATACTAATTCCCCGAATTCCTCTGATACCATCAGATTTACCGTTCCAATTTAAACGCCTACAATTTCCGGTAAAGATATCTTTTGCAATGACCATTAATAAATCGCAGGGTCAAACTTTTAACGTTGCAGGATTAAACTTGAGTGTTGAGTGTTTTACACGTGACCAATTATATGTCGCGCTGTCAAGAGTAACGTCTAAGCAAAACATGTTTGTATTGGCTAATGACAAAAAAGCTGTGAACGTTGTGTATAAGGGCATTCTGTAGTAGGTATATTTTGCATTGCACCCGTGCGAAGCCGGGGCGGGTCGCTAGTTATTAATAAATACTGCAGGGTATTGAATTCTTTATAACTTCTGTCAACCCTTTTTACCACTTAGCCCTTGAAATGTTTATGATTTCGAGCAGACGGTAGGGGTGTCTATAGTGCGTAGCTAGGTACTTAGAATATTATTTGAGGTCAGTCTTTAGTACCAATTGATACATATTTGTATGTTTTAAAATAATTAATGCTGCCTCGTTGGCCAAATGTCGTCGGCCAAATGACTGCCGGTCAAGGGGTCTTAGGTTTGATTCCCGGGTCGGGCAAAGTATTACTGGGTTTGTAAAAATTCACAGAGTCTGGAAATGTGCCTGGTATATGGTAATAGGCTTACCCCCTATTACATGGGACTTATGACATAAATAGTGAAAAGTGGGCATTCTGTGTGCACCTCTGCCTATCCCCTTGGGAATAAAAGGCGTGATATTATATGTTGACATAATTAATTTATTTAAACAAATAATGAATATAATTTCATCATAATAGGTACATACCATACTTTCATTTATTATGACATCATAAGTATGTACTTATGATGTACTTATGATGTCATAATCTTATGAAAGTACCGTTTTTGTATGAAAAAATTTAAATGAATTTTTGTATATGTTTTTTTTTATTTGTATTAATCGAAGTAATCACTCATGCAATTAATGCATCTTTGCCAACGCGGTGGTAGATTATTGATACCCTTCTTAAACCATTCAGCTGGACGGGAGGCTACAAATACTTCAAAGGCATTTTGTACTACCTTCCGGGTATTGAATTTGTTTTCCGCCAAAAAGTTATTCCAATTCTGGAAAAGTAGTAGTCTGTAGGTGAAAGGTCTGGTGAGTATTGGTATTAACTCTGTTACTGAATACTTTTAAATACTGTTTCAAGCCAGTGTCATGGCAACTATCATCCCTAATAGCAGTCCTGAGTTTATGTTAGGTGAATTGTTGGCTATACCATTCATTAAACATAATAAGTGAATCTATAGTACTGCGTACTTTAATATATATTGATTGTGTTTATTAGGAAAGGTCGTGTTGTTGTACATGACTTTGTGGAATTTTAACCATGATGTTTCCAGAATTTAATAGACTAACCACAATATTATTTCAATCTTAGTTAAAATGTTATTAATGGGTTTTTAATTGCTATGATCATCAATTGTGTCGATATTCTTTATATAAAGGCAAGCGTGGTCTTTACAGCAGTGATTTTAATTGATCAGATAGAAAAGGTGAGTGACTTACTACATTATTAAAAGTATTAGGTTTTTATTAATTTTACACACTTGGTTAATACATTTTTAAATAATGTATTATAAAAAAAAACATTTAGAAATACAAAAAGCAGTAGCCCACCAGTAATGGGAGAAATTCAAGTAATTGTTAGTATATATTTTCTACATACTAGTATTGTATTAAAGTTGTAATTTTGATTGCAGATGTATTTCTTTGGAATTTTGTGTTTGCTGTTGGCAGTGGAAGCTTTGCCGACACCCGAGCAGGTACATATCAACGAACCAGCTCCTCCATCACCATTAGAACTCAAACCAGACGAGAAAGATAACAATATAGAAGTCTTAGTTGACCCAGTACCACCTGTAGTAGAAGAACCTGGTTACTCAGATAAAGAAAGCAAGGAAAAGGTTGATGAGTTTAAGAAGGAATTGGAGGCTGTAGAAAAACCTAAAGAAGAAAAAGAAAGGGAAGAAATAGCGGAACAGAAGGAAGTAGAAAAGGAAAAAGAGAAAGAGGTAAAAGACAAATTTGAAGGTGTTGTTGTAGTTGAAGAGTCTAATGATCCAAACGAAAAACCAAATGACGAGGAACCTAAGGAAGAAAAAAAGGATGAAGAATCAAAGGACGAAGACGTAGAGGAAGGTCCTATTATAGTGCAAATATTTAAACCTAAACCATTTTTGGCTGATATTTTTTCGCAATTCTTTCCTGGCTTCCAGTGGCCGCACTTTTCATTGCCCGATTTTCTCCGTCCAAGGAGTGCTGATCCGTTAGAATTAGATGAACCTATCTACATTGTCAAGGAATCTGACTTTAGCTGGCCTTACAAAAAGTAATTGATGACACCTTTATTTGCCGGAAATTTTGTGGAATATTCAATCGACTGATGTGAGTATTTTTCTGTACCTATGTGGCATCTGTTTTAGCAGACTATGAAATCGTATCTACTTACTTAAATAAATATACTTATGAATTTCATTGACTTGTTCTTTTATTTTTGGTCACGATATGATTAATGTTTTAAGAACTGCTTAAACTAACAACTTAATAATAATAAACTGTACTAAACTCTATAAACTTTTGTTGGTGCTAGTCGTAACCGTATCCAAGAAGGAAATGTGGAGGAAGTGGTTCTACTGTCGTGGTTTTTGTTAATTCAGGATACAAAATGTACCTATTAATATCCTCTTCTATTTCTTCAACTACAAGAGTATAACCTGAAATCTGTTGCTCGTAGAGTTATGATATTTTATTATCAGGCAAATCTTGTTTGTTGTAGTAATCAGGCCTACCTGATAAAGAGTTAAAATTTATTTTTTTTAGATTTTTTATATACCTCTAAATTTTCGTTTAGAATGTCATTTTCCGAACTTTGTGTTATGACTGAAGCGCAGTATTATCAATCTTGATTTTGAAAATTAATTGTTTAATATAGTTGAAAATGTTGAAGTTGACCAATTATTTCGTAATAGTTTTTCAAAATACAACTACTTCGAACCTCATGGTGTTTCTTGTATAACGATGTCACTATACTGGCCTGTTTAATGATTTTTCAGTGATATAGTACACAAGTATGTTAATAACATTTAGTAATCGCAATGCAACACCTAATGTAATTTGTTAAACTGCTTTTAATATGCATGCCAAAAATCTTGAAATTCTCGTTTGTATAGTCACATTCAGAGTTATTGCAATCCAAAATAAAACTACAGTCTGTTAACAAATTATTTATGTAGGTACGAACTTACATTATTAAAACAATAAAATTAGTATAAATATACATGCTGTGCAAATTTTACAGAACAATAAAATTAAAAGTAATACAATATTTAAATTAAGAAGGCGTTAAATTAAGAATTTTCATTAGACATACATTTTTGTTTTAAAGTTATAAATATTACCCACAGCACTATATAACGTTGTCATTGCAACAAGTTGTCATTAATTCTGATACAGCACCTGAACAATGACAAATTATTCGTAATGACATTAAGACATGCACCCAGCCTAGTATATTTATTAGGTACGTGTGTCTTTAGTTACATTTTTGTTTATTAATGAAAAAAAAAATTAACCCCAAAATAAATGTATGACACAGACAGAATGTAACGCATTACATGGCTAACATGCTCATTATTCTCGATCCTGGCTACTGATACCTTTTAGTTATATATGCTCTAAAAGGTTATACAGAATCATTTAGTCGTTCAGATGCGCCTACGCTTGTCCATTTACAAGAAAATTCATTTAGATGACAATCAAGATGAGTTCAAAGACCTTACGACTATTATAGACATAATGACCAGTGTTTGTCCTTCTTTGATACTTTGATGACAGTTTTAAATAAATTAACGGTATTTTTCGTATTATTTTAATTTTTAGTAATATTAAGTATGTCGATGCAAATAACAGAACGTATCGTCACACTAACATGAATTTCATTAAATATGTTAACTGTACTTTAATTAAAAGTGAGTTATTTACAAATATTATAACTGTAGATTTTTACACAAAATAATATGATATTTTAAACGGTTATCTTGTACCTATAATATGTAGTATAATGGCACTGAAACATAAGAAAGAAATGATTTTTTAATGTGAAACCCACAGTCACACATAAAATCATTGAAGCTATTTGACTCCAAGTATGTTTACATGACCCAAAATATTTATGTGAACAACAATTTACACTTACTTATATTTATCAAATTAATGGCTAAGACTTGTTCGATTCGTTCGATTAGATCGTTTTGTCTCCTTTATTACATAAATAGTTCATGGGAACTAACAATACTGATGAATAAATAATTAGGTAACTTCAAATTCTCACATGTATGTACACACATTTGCTACATCAATTCACGGGCCTAGGGTCATACGGGGTCGCATCATGACCCACATACCTATTGTTTTTGCGTATTTGGAAGCCTTCGCCAGGTGCGGTATTATAGTAAATCACTCGACGAATACCGAACGGATCGACATAGCCGAAACTTCCAGTTCTCTCGTTTGCCTGGCCGCTCTCTTCCTCGTGATATTGTTTCGGAAGATAGTAACGGAAACCATTTCTTCGGAAGGCTGATCCATCATATGTGGAGAATTGAGGAGTATAACCGTCACCAATTTTTGCTCCAGATTGTTGCTGCCGTTGAAGTTGCTGCTGTCGCTGCAGCCAGGCGTCAGCGTGTCTGTAGGAATTAGGGTTGAACACGTCGTAACGTTGACTGTCACTCGGTAGGTATTCGTCGTCCAATGTATTGGTGTTAGATGAATCGTAGTCGTAGGGACTGCTTGTAGTAGCAGCTTCACTAGCTGTGATTGGTGTCACTGTGGGTCTAAAATCATAAGTTGTTGTTGACGAGTCAATTGAATTAGGTGAAACGTAAACTTGTGGCGTTGACGTTGGGTGTGGGTACGTCCGTGGAGGAGGCGTCACTGAAACTTCTGCCGGGAAGGTGGGAGGTCCGTATGATGACGAGGACGGTGGGGCTTGAGTCGTGGACTTGAAGCGCGGTGGGCCGCGATTTCGCGGAACTGGTGCTGGTGCAGGTGTTACTCCAAAACCAGAATCAGTTGGAGCAGTCTTGGCTATTTGTAAAGACTCCTGAAATAAAACATAACGTATATAAATAACAATGAAATGTAAAGGTGCTACTTAATAAAATTAATATAATAAAATTATGTTTATGTATCGTTTAATACATACTGAAATTGGTCGGTTTTCTCCTACGTAGACTGTTTTTGATTTGTAGATTCTGTATCCCTGATTATCAGCGATATAATCCTGGAGCCGTAAATATCCGTCAGCACCAACCCAACCAGTTGTACCTGAAATGTAGAATGACGTCATTATTGTCTGAGCATTCAGTTGAAACTGCATATGATGCCCAAAATGAGAACAATGCAGCTCATTGTTCAAGATGCAGATAAATTATTTATTTTTGTACAAGGTATGTTATATGATAGGTCTCGGCGTTTTTCCTAAGTTGACGATGAACCTCGTCACAAATAATAATAATTAAGATCTCCTAAATGTATTCAAGAAAGAAGAGAAGTACCTATAACTAAAATTGAAAGCCGGAAATAAAACAACAACAAAAAGTAAAAAAATACGTTCATAGTTCCAATATGGACTGTCACAAATTCTGTTTTAATAAACGGAGATTTAAATATTTTTTTTGATATCCTTAGTTCCTTAGATGGCGATTGCTATGTTACATATTCAGATGTCCCACCTACATAGATCAGCGTTGGGACAATGAACTGTAAAGCATGTGTAGGTCGACAGCATTTTATCTTGACAATGGAACTTTGCTACACAAGTTTGCTCTACTTTACATTTATCATCAACAGCCTATAAATGCCCACTGCTGAGCAAAGCCTCTTCTCACACGGAGAAGGTTAGAGCATTAATCACCACGCTTGCTCAATGCGGGTTGGCGATTATAAACTTATAATTAGAAATTATAAGTTCAGGTTTCCTCACGATGTTTTTCCTTCACCGTTTGTCAGTGGTGTCTAAATAATCTTAGAAAGTACATATAACTCGGAAAAAGTCACATTGGTACTTGCCGTTGGTAGGTTTCGAACTTTACATTTATAGTGAACTTGAAGTCTATATCAATAGACTTTATGTATGATTGGTTTTTTTAAGACACCCGCTTCTCATGTATGAGAGTGCGGGTCTGAAATCTGCCAACGGCAAGTACCAATGTGACTTTTTCCGAGTTATATGTACTTTCTAAGATTATTCAGACACCACTGGTAAACCATCAAGGAAGGTAGAGGAAAACATCGTGAGGAAACCTGGGCTTATAATTTCTAATTATAAGTTTGAAATCGCCAACCCGCATTGAGCAAGCGTGGTGATTAATATTCAAACCTTCTCCGTGTGAGTAGAGCCTTTGCTCAGCAGTGGGCATTAAAGGTTGTTGATGTGTATGTGTGGTCTGCATGGCTTGCTTACCAACACAACCGCACCTTTATTGCTTCACCTTTTTTACACTTAGGGAAACTAAGAAAAACTTCATATTTTGGAGATCGTAGTACTCACTCTTGGTTATGGCTTACTCTTGAATCCAATTCCGATTGATCGACATTGACATTGTGAAATTTCGTATCTATTCTTGAATTGAACACTAGTGCCCATTGCATCCGTATTGCGGGGATATTGAATAAACTAAATAGTATTGAGTTTGGCTTTATATTCTGTACCCTGAATGTTATTTTAACAGCTACGATTAGGCTTGTATAGTTTTGATATTGAATAATTATTGATATTTTATTGGATTGAAATTCAATTGACACTGAGATTGGTTTCAAGAGTAAGCGCTCTGGTTCCTTCTGTGTCTGCAGTACGGTGTAAATGGGAATAACTTATCTTTTACATTCTTACCATGAACTTAGGGAAAACATTCAGAATTGTGTATAGATATCAAAGGCAGATTTATTGAAAAAAGAAATAGTCGTTTTTAACATTTAATGTAGATGTTTGTGGAACTAGTTTTATTGATGTTAGATATTTAACACGTAATTTAATAGGTATGATAAACTGAATGAGCTCGTGGTCCTAAGCGTGACTGTTAATAACTATGTTATTCGTACTTGAGATTAAAGGAGCACCTCATTTGGATACACTTATCCGAACATTTAAAATTTGACTTTAATTATTTACCAAAATAATAGTTGGGGTAGAGAGATTAGCATATTATCAAGCACTGCACTGATCAGGATTTCATACTGGATATTATTGTTGAGAATTAAATTTGAAATGTCAGAAACGCAATAATATTTTGCCTGAACCAGGAATATGAACTTCACAGCCATGTAACTGTTCCTTCTCCGAGAAAGTACCTCCCACATAGGGCTAATAAAATCATACCTGGTCACAAAATACGTCTCATTGCAGTTATGCCAAAACTAAAAGTAGGTATGAAGTGGGTTTCATGGAGATAAATCTGCTATTTATTATTATAATGT